AAACTAATACACTAACATTGCAAAAAATAAATTTAAATGACTAAATAACTAAAATAGTTCAAACTTTACTTACTCATTACTTGTTTTAAATTGTCTATAGAAAAAAACAACAATGACACAATAAAAAGAAAGCTACAATTAGAAATACATAAATAAACATCTGTAAAAAAATTTTGTGGTTAATTGTAATAAAGTAATAAAATAATAATAAATGTTATAAAAATCTTTAAATGAATACTGAAAGCAGATAACTAAATACTAAAATAATAAAGCATAACAAAGAAACTGACTTATCCTCTCAAAAGCATCATCTAAAAAACAATACACCGATTGAGCGAATTTAAAATACGTCATTTTTAAGAGGTCTGAACTCCAATAGGAGGGGTAAAAAAATACTTCCGCTACAATATTTACTTGAGAAAACGAAGTATAAACATCAAACTAAAACTGCTAAAACAAATATTTACTATAAAATTAATCATGGAGTACAATATGATTTCAAAGATGAAAGTTGAAGGGTTAAAAAACTATTTGAAATTAAGAGGATTAAAATTAAATGGTAAAAAAGAAGAGCTAGTTGCTCGTGTATTTGCTGCAATAGAAAACAATGTTCTACCAATAAAAACAGCAGTAGAAGTTGAGGCAGATTTAAAAAAAGAATATAATTTGAAACTGGAATTAGAAGATATGCAGATACCTGATCCATTCAAAATTCTTGATGGCTGGATGGACGAACAGGAGGGTATGCCATTCTGGCCAATGTTATTATATCCAGATATATTTAACTATTTAATGTTTAATCCCTCAGAACTCGGAAGTAATGACTTAAGTGACTATAAAGACTCAAAAGCATACAGCTACTATAAATCTTCCTGGCTTCAGCCTCTTATGTATCATAATTTAACAGGTAGTAATTACTGTATATTTAAATCAGAATGTCGGAGATCACAGTCTTAGACTTTGTTGATGGAATTCCTTCAACTGCAAACCCTACACCTACATTATGTCTTGGATATGAAATACAAGCTAATAAATCTAGAAGAAAATTATTAAAACACCATATACCATTAAAAAAGCAAAAACTTGACTGCACTGCAACTACAAGTTGTTCGACTTTTATGATAAAAGTCGAACAACTTGTAGTTGCAGTGCAGTCAAGTTTTTGCTTTTTTAATGGTATATGGTGTTTTAATAATTTTCTTCTAGATTTATTAGCTTGTATTTCATATCCAAGACATAATGTAGGTGTAGGGTTTGCAGTTGAAGGAATTCCATCAACAAAGTGCATAGAGCATACCCTATCACTACCTGTTGGCTGCCATAATGTTTTATTTATAAATTCTCTTTTTAACGCTTTCACCCATAATTGTCTTTCTTTATTTTTCTGATTTACTGATGGAAATTTGTATAATTAAAATGGCTTTTCACATAATGAGCATTCCTCTCTGCTTATATTTTGATGGTGTTCATTGCATATTTCTTTTTTCCATTTTTTCAACCTATATGTACTATTTGCACAACCAATTACGGCACAATTAACTTTCGGCATCTTTAAATAAAAAGTTTGTTTTCTGATTATACTTAATAATTAAATAAATTTTAATTGAATGCTTTTGATAGATGTTTATACTTCGTTTTCTCAAGTTTTAATGGGAGATTTATAAGGTTGTCTCTACTTTTACCCCTCCAACGGGGTCTCGAACTCCCAAATTATAATGGCGCGTTACAAAGCTCAATCGGTGTATTGAAAAACTTTTTTTAACAAAATAATACAAACATTTGTCTCGACTATATCTACTGATCTTAAGTTAAAAGAAACTAATGGGTATGGAATGTGTAAAATAACTAACTTATATTGTTGGCTGCCACCATTGGACGGCTTTGAGTTGCTAAAACAATATAAAAAATGTTTTGCATTATTATGTGACATGTATTATACATAAAAGTTGAATAATTTCACTAACATATATAAGTTATATATGAACGTATTTTATTTAATAAATAAAATATGATTCAACTGTAATAAATAATATAAATAAAATAAATAAAATTCAACTGTAATAAATAATATAAATAATGATAATCCTACAGTTACGCGGCCTAAAATAGTCATATATTTGCCAGGGGGTTTTGCTACATCGATATAACAAAAGAAAAAAGATTGCTTCCCCATGGCAAACCTTCAGTCGATGTAGCAGCACTTCCTTGTAGCAGCAGGCTATAAGATAGTCAATGTAGCACTCCGTTGCGAGTCAGGCTATAAGATAGTCGATGTAGCAAAACCCCCTGGCAAAAATATAATTATTTTAGGTCGCGTAACTGTGGCTTTACCTAAATAATTTATATTATTTATTACAGTTGAAAGATTAACAGTAAATTATACAAAAAAAGATTAGCAGTATTACAACAATCTTACATTGTAATACAATGTAAGATAAAATATGTTACAAAATTAATAATGTCTTAAAAGGGATCCCAAAGTTGTGTTCATATTAAAGATAATGTTAAAAAAAAAGGTTTGAACCAAGTTTTTTGATTAAAAATAAATAATGAATGCATCTGAGAAAAACTGTTGTTGTTTTAGCCGAAGCTCGCCTTCTCCATTTTTTTCAACTCGGAGTCTTTAAATTATAGGTCGCAATCTACAGACTTTGGCGATTCGTTTAAATCTTTTAATTTAGCACTTGACGTCACTAATTCGTTTAATTTAGCACTTGACGTCACAATAGATTTTTAACAAA